CAGGACGACTCCGCGGGCGGGAGTGCCCGCCCCAGCGAAGCCCGCTGGAGGGGTGATCACATCGCCGTAGTGGTACCCCCTCCACTCCTGGGCGACGCGCCAGTTCCCCACAGGGGCGGGGGCGGCGTCGCCAGCGCCTCCCGCCAGCACCAGGGGTCGGGCCCCCCCGACCACGGCCGCTGCGAGCGCTGCTCCCGCGGGCGCCGGCGCACCGCCCGCCTCCCCGCCGCCCGCGGCCGGCGCAGCCCCCGCGGCCGCACCTCCTCGGCGCATCACCCCGCCCGGCAGGGGCGCGGGTGCCGGGGCGACGGGCGCCGCGGCGGGCGGCGGGCCCCCCGCTGGCACGACGACCCAACCTCCGCCCGGCGGCCCGGCGGCGGGGGCCACCGCGGCAGGGGCGGGCCCGACGGCGGCAGCCGGCGCCCCCGGCGCAGCCCAGGGCCACGCCTCGAAGACGGGCGCCGGCACGGCCACGCCCGGGTGGCGCCGAGCAAAGCAGCGCCGAGCCTCGGCCTGGGCATCGGGGAGCCAGGCCGCCACCTCCGCCGCGGTCGGGGGGCTCGCGAAGCGGTAGGCCCGCACGACGCCCGGCGGCCTGGGGGCGAGGGCGGGCGCCCACCGCACCGCGCTGATGTCGGCCGACGTCCCGTCCACTACCTCGCACTGCACCTGGTGGTCCGGCGAGACCAGGATCGCGTCACTCGGACAGGACACCACCCGACCCAAGTTCCAGCGCTGGTGCCACAGGGGCGCCCCCGGCACCGCATACAGGAGGTACGCCACCTGGTCCACTCCTTCCAGCGCGGGCACGGCGTCGGCGGCAGCAGCAGCCATCGCTCCACCTCCCGACGTCGCCGAGCGCGATGCCGATCACGAGCGACGCCACTGTCGTCCCCCAGGCCGCCGCCACCGTCGGGGCTGCGGGCGCCGTGGAGGCGCGCCCCCGCTCTTGCTGCGGGCACTGGGGAGCCGGCGCCCCTGGGCAGGCCGGGCAGGGCGGGACCGCGGGACAGGCGCAGTGGCAGTCCGGGCACTCCAACGCCGGGCACGGCGGCGGCGGCGGTGCCCGACTCAACCAGGAGGCCACGCCATGCGACAGCTGGGTGAGGGCTCCGACCGCCCACGGGGGCACCATGCCCCGTGGGAAAAAGCTTGAGCGAAACGTCAACGGAAGATCGCAGACGGGCGGCCAGCGACGCTTCCCAAGGAGCAACCCTGTTCGGAGAACGACTTAGGAGGAGGAGGGAGGAGGAGGAGGAGGAGGAGGAGGAGGAGGAGGGAGGAGGAGGAGGAGGAGGAGGAGGAGGAGGAGGAGAGGAGGAGGGAGGAGGGGGAGGAAGGAGGGAGGAGGAGGGGGAGGAGGAGGAGGAGGAGGAGGAGGAGGAGGAGGAGGAGGAGGAGGAGGAGGAGCAGGAGGAGGATTATATGAATAAAAAGGAAGAGGAGGAGGCGGCGGAGGAGGAGGAGGAGTAGGAGGAAGAGGATGAGGAGGAGGAGGAGCAAGGTTCCCAACTTAGAGCGGTGGCGTAGCACGCGCTTACCAGCAAGGCTCCCAAGAGCGAGCGGCAACGTAAGCATATCTTGGCACGAGGACTCTGAGTAGAGAGCGGTGACGCAGCAAGCTCTTCCCAGCAAGGCTCCGAACAGAGAGCGGTGACGTAACACGCGCTTACCAGCAAGGCTCCCAAGAACGAGCGTTGACGCAACCAGCTCTTACCACCAAGGCTCCCAAGAGCGAAGGGTGCCATGAGGCATCTCGGGCAAGTTGCTGAAGAGCTCTTTCCGTTTCCGTGCCGGCCCAGGACTGATGGACCGTACGTGGACTCGATCCACCTCTACAGGAATCCGAGTAGGGCTGAATCCAACTAGGGCTCGACTCAGCTTCAATCAAACCATCCTACAGCTCGGTCCAGCTCTAACACAATCTTACTAAAGCTCGATCTTCGTTATCGTCGTCGTCGTTGTCGTCGGCGCTTGTGCCCGCAGTCGTCGTTTACCACTGGCGAGAAGGAGGGCGGGGGGGGGATCCGACCCCACCCCCTCGAAGGGGGGGGCGGTCCGACCCCCACCCCCACACCCCGCAAATCGGGGGGGGGCGGAGCGATCTCCCCTTTCCAAGCGCCCACATAACGCGCTCGATTACGAATATACAAAAAAAGTTAGTTATACGTTTAAACAGGGCATGGGGCTGCACTCACCCACCCAAACGAAGTGGGTCCAGAAATTGGACCGGCCCAGAAATTGCGCCCAGAGAATCCGCCTGGACTGTCAGGCCCAGAAATTGTGCTCACAGCGGTGAGGGAGGCGGCCAGACGGCCCTGCGAGAGCCCCAAACGGCCCCTGGCACTCCTCAAACGGCCGAGGACGACCCCAAAAAAGCCCCAAGAGGCCCTCCGAATGTCAACAACCAATGTGATTGTTCTTGCGGTTGTTGACCGACTCAGCGACATCCGTTCCTGCGGCCTTCCATGCGCAAGAGACCGCAGAAAGGGCGACCCCGCTGATAAAAAACTGAGAGTATGGGGAAGGGCTCACTGGGAAGGGCGAGAACGAGGAAGATGAAGAAGGAAGAGGAAAGCACGGATAAGAGAAGGGAAGATAACGACGGCAGCCATAGACCAGGATTACTCGTCTAGTGTTAGTAGTGCTAACACTTGAAGTGCAATGTAAATGCCTGATTGATCTTAGCGTGGTCATATTCAGCGCTCTGGTGACTGATATGTATCCCTCCCTCCCTCCTTCCATATTCCCCTCTCTCTATACCATGTATATATCCGTATGTTTCTCTCTCTCTCTCTCTCTTTCTCTATCACGTTGTCTCGCTCTCTCTCTCTCTCTCTCTGATCTCTCTCTCTCTCTCTACCTGTACGCACATATTTCTCTCCCCGCCACTGTGCGGCACTTGGAAGACCAACGTTAGCCGTCATTGGCGCGAAGAGCCACTGCATTGTGGTGCATGACTCAGGCTGCCTGCTGATTGGCTCCATATCGGCAGACTCCTTTGGCCAGCTCGTGGAGCCCATGCGATCACAAAAAGCTGCTCTTCCTCTGCTCGGAATAGTTGGGCCCCTTACTTCGCGAACCTGTCCGCCTCATGGGCCTGTCCGCCTCAAAATGGCCTTGCTCTTCCAGCAAAAGCCGCGGCACGGGTCCGTCGTGGGCGACCGCGCTGTCCTCCATCGGCCATGCTGCATGCTACGACGTGACGGACCAGCAGGCGCCGAAGAGCACCCAGCGCCGCGCTGGCTCAAACGACGAGCGCCGCAACCAGGGACGCTCGCTCGCCCGGGCGGGCCTGCTCGGCCCCAAGGGCCGTCCGCAGCTGGCGGGCCGTGGGCTTGCTACTCGTCATCCCCCCCCCCCTCCCGCGCGCGCGGGTACACGCGGGAGGGCGCGCGGGGGAGCAGGGAGGAGGGAGAGGAAGAGGCCCAGGAGGAGGGCAAAAAGAGCGGCTGGTACAATATCAAATCGATAAGTCGGAACGGGTCGGAACGCGCATCGACTCGGGCAACGTCAGGACAGGATCGGAATCGAATCGGATCGGCCGCCCCAGGGTGTACGACAGCGCCGTGCGACCATCGAGCCACATCGGATCGCTGGAATATCGGCATCGGATCGGCTCGAGCCAGCCCAAAACGATATCGAATCGGACCCTGTGTGTGGTTCCGATGGGTCAGAGGAAGAGGCGGGGCCATGAGAGACACGCCACTCGGGAAACTGAGTCCCAAAAAGAAGTGTGGGGCAATCGTATCAAAGTATGATGGTTGATAGTCATACCGTTGAAGATTTGATCATAAATCATGTGTCGTCATTCGTATGTTTAAGTAGCAAGAGGCCTCTGCGGGGGAAAAAAAACATGGCGTTGGCCAGTAGACCCCATGTCGTTGCAAACGTACGTAACGTCATGCTCGCACTTGTCTTCATAGGCCCTTACTAATACTGCTAAGATGCATCAGCATGGTAGCAGTTGGTCATACATGCACAACCCACGATTTCCCATCTGTCTTCCTATGTTCAAACGCCATGCCATCTGACCGAACACCCGTGGTAAATACACCACCTCCAATCAACCTTCTGACTGCAAGCCGATTGACCAGCCTCGAATTGCCCGCCCGAGTTGCCCGCCCTAGGAGCGGTCGACCGTCCCCCCTGTTGATCGCACCCTACATCAACATTACTCATTTTTCGATGATGACCAGCATGACGCAAAGACACACAGTGGAAGTGGCACCGATAGTGCGCACGTCTATAAAACATATGAGACAGGTCGTGCGGCGGTTGGGCCCACTGGGATGTGCACTGTGCAGGGGCACATTACTTCGAACTAAACTAGGCGCGACGGATAATGACATGTTTGCTGATACTAGGCCGCATGGTGTTTTGCACGACACTTCCGTGGGGGGATGAAACCAAATCAGCTCAAAATCGGTCCATGGACCCCTCCCGCGGGCCAACTGGTGCAGGTTTTCACCCCGGATCCGTTCTTCACGATCCCGGGGCCCGACAACAGCCATGGGAGGCCGCAAAAGGCAAAAACCCTCAACGCACCCAGAACCTCGAACCTGCCCACCCCTCCTGCTGGTCGGAGCCAGCGCTGAGCCACCCCCAAACCCCCAGCCAGCTCCGACCAGGAGGGAGGAGGATCGCGAGGCAGGACCGTCTCATCTGGTACTTTCTAGGAAACTAGTCATCGGAGCCGTTTGGAGGGAGCTGCTGGAAACCTTTCTGGAGCCCGTGGGGTATCGTCTTTGTTCGAGTGATCTGGGGCCTTCTACTTGCCGTCGCTCGGACGTCCATTCCCCCTGCATTTCTCGGTCTCGCGCGTGTTTTTGGGCTCGAAGATCCAGGATGCTCCTCGATGGTCCTCGCCGAGGAAACAATGCACACGTCCGAGCGATGCCAAGTCCAGTAGCATGTCAGAGTCCTGCTCCCTCGACTCGTCGCCGCAGGGGCGGGCGAGGGCGGCAATGGTAGGCCGCAGGCCAGCCGCCCCGGCCCACCTGCGTGTCAGGCACCACGCACGGCTGGGACTGCCCGCTCACGGAGATGCCCTCCAGGTTCTTAGCCTCGGCTCGGCCCGGCTCAAGATCGTTCATCGGGCCAGACGATGGGTCCGAATAAAAAAAGGGGAGAGCAACACGTGTATCCAGGGACGCCGACGGTCCATGACTTCGGCGAGGTTCCTGGGCGAATACGTGTGATGCCCGCCCCTGGGCTATCCGTCCGATGAGGGGGGAGAGAGGTGCCGGCCGATAGCCCAACCTTTTCGCTTTGGGCAGCCCCGCGCACCAGTACTGCGCACCCCCCCTCGGACCTGCGCAGCCTATACGGTCAGGTTATCCAGGGGGGGGGGGGGGGGGCGGGCGGGCCCGATAACCAAGGTGATTGCCGAACCCTTGAAGGAAGAGTCTCCTACGGCAGGTGCGTGTGGTGGCGACGTCGGCGCTGGTCTTGACCCCGCGGGGATCGCTCCACCATGAACGATCGGCTGTTTCCGAAATGCAAGAGTGTAAAAACCAGTCAGCAGCACGCCAAGCAGCTGACAGAAGAAAAAGCACTGTGAACACCAGAAAAAAAGCATAAAGCGACTGGTCTGCGCTGACTGATGAGCGCCTTTGAGAAGAAGACAACACTAGACAGACGTAAATCTGGCTGGGACCTGGCGGGCCTGGGGATACATTGGGCGCTGAGGCCGTTGCAGAACGTTCCAGAGCGCTCTGGAAAGCTTGCTTGGACGCTCAGGGACGAGTTGGCTACATACGTCCATGGCCTGCCTGGTAGGGTAAGGCAGGCGATGAGCGACAGGGGAGAGGTAGGGGGGATCGAGGCTCTCAGTGACTGGGGGTGATTTGGCCCTCGTCTGGGGGGGGGGCTCCAGCAGGGGAGGCCCGGGATCCAGGATCTGGGAGCCAGGAGGAGAGCCAGGAGGAGCCAAGAGGTGGGGAGTGGAAGCTGCGAAGGAGCCCGCCCGCCCGACTCCCCTCAAAGTCGGACTCGGGACCTCCCCCGGCATCCGTCCTGACCCATTCTTAGGCGCGAGGCCAGCCGTGGCGACGAGAAGCCTCCTACAGAGGAAGAAACATCTGCATAAGAGAGAACGTTTGGAGCTCCGCGCAGATTTCTTGGATCGGCGCCAGAGGCGCCGCCAGGGGGGGGCCAGCAGGGGCCCAGCTGGAATAGCATCATCATATCAATGCATGTCTACATGACTTCCGTGTCGTAGTCCGAAACTGCTTCACATTGCAGGGCGGGGTGCCCAGGCAGGCCTTTCAGCAAGTGCCCAAGCAGGCCTCCCAGAGGGCGCCTGGAGCAGGGGCCTCCATGGTAGGGGGACAAACAATGGCATAAACATATAATTACTTCTGGTGCTCCGCGCGGATTTCTCGGATCGGTGCTGGGGCTCCCTGGCGGCGCCTCTGGCGCCGCCCCTGGCGCGCTCCACGCGCCAGAGAGGGTGAATGTCATTGTTCGTTCCCCGACACGAGGCCCCTCGTGCAGAAACACCCGTTTGCCCAACAAGCGTAGATGATTACAAAAACGCTCGGGGCGTGTATTCCCGGTTTCAAGGTCGGCATTGTTTGTTTGTCCGTTCTTGGGCCCGTGTTTGATCTCTAGTTGGGGATTCTCGTTCGCGCCATTTTCGGTACGGTTACTCGTTGTACTGTCGTGATCGTTGTGTTATGGGCTGATGTTAGTATTCCGTTGTGGTTGGCCGACAACCGAAATGTGAAACAAAATATTTAGGACAATGCGCCCTCAGCGTTTCAAACATCGACTAAGCCCACACAGACCTTCATCAGCCTGGATGGCTCCAAGACGGCTAAGCGACTTCACGCAACCCCGCAACCGCAGATCGCTCCCGACTCCCGACGGTCACACAACCGTTCTAGAGATTGGCACGGCGATCGAGATGATCTGCCAACGACAATCACCGACTTGCCCGAGATCTGCCCAGCTAAGCTGCCGGCATCTCCAAGTGACCATCCCGTGAACATCGAACTCTTGTCTGCTTTCCTGGATCCCACCCCACCGTCACTGCAAGGAAGCCTCAAAAAGCAACATCGCATGGAGGCCAGGGAACAAGGTCACTGGGCTCGCCCGCGCCCGACCGCAATTCCACACGGGCCTAACAGCTGGAAGCCCGGACAATCACATGAATACTCTGGTGTCCGTATCATGGGGTTTCTGTGATCCCCCAGACCCTCAAATTCCATTGCTGCGAGACGCAGTTGTGCCTATCCGACTGAAATGTGTGCTCGTATGGTCCAGAACCAGCGTGCACGGCACATAAGCTGAATATCGAGATCTCTTTTTATCTAGGATGCAGGCTTTGCTTCGTTGCGTACGCATCGCCATCTGGGCCATGTGTGAGGGATGCCACCACCAGCAGAACGAGAGAGAAGGCCCCAGCGCAGAGTGCGTGCAATAGGCACGAGCTCTGGGGAAATAGCTGGGGCTTATCGCTGAAGAGGTGGGCGGCGAAAAGTAGAAGGAGGAAGGTGGGGTCAAGGACAGACAGGAAGAAGAGGAAGAAAAAAAGGGGGACTGCCAGGGAGGCGTGTGGAAATCCACAGACCGTGGCCTCCAAGATACTCAAACTGCCTTCCAAGACGGCGCAGGAAGATCGCCAACACGTGCGAGCGGCTTCCAAAAGGGTGCCAGACTTCTAACCAGCCTCCCCTGCTCCGCTCCTCCCCTGGCCTCCCTCCTTCCTCTCTTGATTCCGATCCACGCCCTCTTCGTCCTCCTGCTGTGCTCTTCCCCGCGTCTCCTCATGCAGCAGTCTCTCGCCGTCACCTCCTCCCACTCCTCCACGGCCATACCTCCAATTCTCTGTCATGGTGACGCCCCAGAGGCCCACCACGTCTTGGCATTCCGATTCACGTGCGTGATCAGACCGTCGTCATTCACGGGGACACCGAACGGACCTGAAGAAGGGAGGCAGGACAGAGAGGGCGGAGTGAGGATGACCAAGCTCGCTATCAGCTCAGAAGGTACCAAAACTATCTTCAAGGATGTGGCAATCACCAAAAATATGCTAGAGACATGGGCCAACTTTCCAGAAACGCTGTGATACCAGAGCCCCGCTGTTGCCGGTTAACGGTCCACATGCTTAAAATGAATTGTAAGGCCGAACACGTATGCCAATGGCCGCGGTGAAGACAGTCCATGGGGAGGATGAGAATAGCCGTGGTGGAACAGGTCAATAAGGGACGTGTCTCTCCAGAGACCCCCGTATCAGATGGTTCAGCCATGCTTCGAGAAAGCCCTGGGGGGAAAATCTGGCTCTCGATTCGTGGAAGTCAAGAAGCTCACGACTCAAAGAACAAGAGAAGCATGTGAGAGACCGATTGCTGGATACAAATGCGGCTGGAAGAGTATGCGTATTCCGATTCACACGGGTGTGCCGTCCAAACCATGCCTGCTTGCCTGTGGGAGGCCACAGGGCGGAAGAAGGATGGAGGAGGACGAGGACGGCGAGTGACGGGCGACGGGCGACGGGCGACGACGACGACGACGACGACGACGATGACGACGACTGCGGCGGCGGCGGCGGCAGGCGCCCCCGATGAGAGGAGCCGGCGCGGCACGCTGGCGCGAGCGGCCAGCGCAAGGGGCAGCGGGGGATAGGGGGCCCTTGTCGGGATTCAAGATCAGCAGCAGTATCGCCGCGACGAGGGCGGCCACGGCACCTCCCAGGTGTATGAGGAGGAGGAGGAGGAGGAGGAGGCCTGCGACCTATTCACAGTGGTCAGATGTTTGTTATTGTTGATTCCTCCTACCATGCCACTGGCAGCATGCTGAGTTACTGTACCCAAGAGGTCCCCGATGTTTTTGTTTCACTATTTGTCAATTACTTTCCACACCTATTCTCTGCCTAATTTGCAGACCTCCGCGCCTAAGATGATTTTTGCCCGACTGTTTTGCTATCCACGAGATCGCTACGATCCCAACTGATCTAAGTTTGCCTCACGTCAAAGGGAGGCCAGCGCCTGTTGGCGCTGGAGGCAGTGGTATTCCCTTGGCTATTACGCTGCTGCCTCTGCTCTGTTCTTCGCCCGTTGGTCTTCGCGCCCTCTTCTGGCCACCATGCGCTTTGGCCGTCCTGCGCTTTGACCGACAAACCGACCGACCGACCGACCGAGGAGGAGGAAGAGGAGAGTCAGTTGAGACATCAGCGGCGCTCCCTCCTCTGTACTCCCTTCTCCTCCCTGTCCCCCCACGCTTGGATAGCGAGGCCCCGTCAACGACTCGGGTATTACAAATGAAACCCTCCGCTCGGGGGGCCGGTACCGCCTGCATCGGCGGCCTGTAAACAGAGCCAGCGACCAGCCGCAAGCTGGCGGAGGCGGGACCCCCTTTCTAAGGGGAGGGGCCTTTGGGTCGCCTGGGGGGGCCTTTCCCTTGGGGGGAGGGGTGTGCCAGGCGGGGCGGGTTCCGGATACCCCCCGTTGCTCCAGGACCCCTCCTGGCTCGGGGTCACTGGTCCTGCCTGTCATGGCACACGGCACCCTCTCGCCCTCGTCGAACAGTGGCTTTTCAGCGCTTGAGCGCCGCGGGTGCCGCCCCATCCTCGTTTGTGCAGCACGCGCGCACGCCGGCCGCGCTCGTGGGAGAGGACGCCTTTTGCCGTGGAGCCCGTTCCAGCCTGTGTCCTCGCTTGTGCGGCGCGCCGTGACGCCGCGTGCATGAAGCCGTGACGTTTTTCAGGGCTGCGCGTTTGGCACGTCAGCCCCTGGCGCGGGATTCGGACGCTGCGTCTCTAGCACTACATAACTACTCAACATGAATACTACTCTCCCTTCTCTCCTGACTCTGTCCGGAAGATGTCCCACCCACTCTGCAAATTGCTGTTTTACACGGGATTTCACAATTTGGTTTTCCCTTCTGTTTCCGTTCCAATCGGAACATTTTTGGTCTTTCAAAATGGTGGTCTCACTGCAGCGTAGGCCTCATTTTACAATCGGCGTGTTGCTCCCGTCGTTGAGAATGGCGCTCTCGCCCAAGCGCGGGCCACTTTTCTGGATCCGAGTCCTTGCTCATCGTTGCAGTCCCACTCCTTTTCCATCCTCCGCCGTCCAATGGTCCTCTCGCTCTTCCCGATCATTCCAGTCCAGCTCCAGCTGCTGAAGCTGCTGCTGTTCGTCATTGCCTGCATCCTGTATCGTCCTCCTTCTCCTGCTCATCCTCCTGCTCATCCGCCACCCCCTTATCCAATGTACGCCGACCATGACGGGGTCCCATTTGGAGTTCCAGGTCCGCTATGACATGCGTCGGCGGAAAGAGACAAATCAGCGCAATGGGAAGGGATGGGTGGTAGGGTTAGGATGTCACATATGTCGCGAGCTCACCTAGTTTGCTCACTGAATCTTCTCCTCCCTCCATCCTCCTCCTCCTCCTCGTGCCTTCGTCGTTCGAGTGCGGCGACCGCTGTATTGTTTGTGAGGTGCGCGGACGCACAGCTCACAGCTCCCAGCCGCGTCGCCCTGCCTAGGCCCTCTTCGCGCCAGCCTCATTGGCGGCCGCGGCGCGAAGGGCGCTTGCGTCCGCGCCCGCCTGCTCCAGCTGGTTGGCGGCGCGCACAAAGGTGGTGGCGCGGAGGGGGGCAGCCTTCTGGCTTGGCCCAACCGGCCGACTTAGCCCCCTGCAGCATGGGTGGGGATATGCGCTGTTCCCTTCGAGTTTCGCGGGCCCCATCCCCACCTGGGCGGGTCAGTCACCTGGTGGGGCTGAGAGACCATGGCCAAATGTAGATGGGGATCGGTGCGACGATGCTGATCTAAGAAGGCAGGTGTCCTGCGGCAACTCCCAGGAGCCTCCCGTACCATCTTGCTGGCTCTCGCGAATCGGCGCCAATCGACGCTAAATGGACACTAAGGCGACGCTAATCGACGCTAGATCGGCGCTATCTCATCGATTGCCATACGCCAATCGACTCCAATGCACTCTGAAGACGCAATTGCGAGGGCACACAAAGCTCCCACGATTTGCGACCGAACAGACGGCATCTGAGAAGCCCTCCAGCGCTTCCAAGAAGGGCCCCGCCTTCCGAGAGGCCTCCCCGCACTCTCGGAAAGCCACCCCCCCCCTCGCGCCACCCGCCCTCGTGCGCGCCGCCAGGCTTGGCCATCGCCACGTGCTCTAGCTCTTCGGCGTCCGCGCCCATGCTCAACGCCCGCATCTCGGTGGCGTCGCTGTCGGCCTTCTCCTGCAAGAGGACGCCAACCAAACACCCACACCGATCCTGGCCAGGAACACCCGGGGCCCAAGATCGGTGCACACGCCCTCCTGGCTCCGGCAGCAAGGCATACACACCGACCCCGGGGCTCAGGATCGGCCTGGCCAAGATCGGTGCTGATGTGCAGTCGGTGCCCTCCGATCCTTAGACGCGAGAAGCTGAATCTGGGCGGCGTCCTGGTCCTCCTCTTTTGCCTCCAGCGCCACGGCCCTGACAAGCGCGTCGCGGTCCTTGGGGTCCTTCAGCTCCCGCTCCCCCTGGGCGTCTGCAGCCTCGGACCATAGCTTCTCGGCCCTGGCGATCGCCCGACCATCCTGTTCGTCCTCACCCGCCCGCTCGCGGGCTGCCCGCGCCCGGTGGCTCTCGAGGCCCGACGCCTGGCGGATGGCCAGCACGTCGTCGAGGTCCGCCCTCGCATCGGCCTCCACGCCCCCAGTCATGGCATCTGCGTCCTCCACGTCTGGAAGAAGAAAACCCGGCACAAGCAAAACTGGAGCATGTACAGTACCAGCGGCGGGCTTTTCTTCAATCCCACGACTTTTTGAGGGTCGAGCACGACGTCGGGGTGGTGTGGTGTATACTGTTGCCCCGTGTGCCTGGGGCAACGTAAAAAAAAAAAAAAAAAAAAAAAACAAAAAAAAAAAAAAACGAATACCGTGTACGCCAGGTTCCGCTTTCCTGTGCGAGTTTCAGTGCGGGGCCGGTAAAGCGTCGAAGTAAAGAGTTCGGCTTTTTGCATACACTCCAGGAGGTCCGAAAGTTTACCTTCGTCGCGCTGCCAGGAGGAGCGCCGACTCGGGAACGAAAAAGCTTTTCTGGCCACGACGGGCGTCGGCGACGAAGCCCAGGCCCCCGACCCAGTACCAAAGCCCCACCCTGCGAGCCCAATACGGCCCCCGCTGCGGCGCCTGGACTGTGCGGCCAGACCTGAGACGGAAGAACATCCCTCAAGAACATGAGACCCTCCTCCGGCCAAACTGAAGAACATTCGAGGGTACCTCCCCCAGGGTACACAAGAGCATTCCAGTCCGACCGACCGTGCTCGTGCCGAGGGTTCCTTTTCGAATGTCCACCGTGGCGTTGCCCGAGGCCTGCACGCCCTGGCTCCTCAGCACGCGACCGGCGTCGCCGAGCTGCAGGGCCAGGAGGAGCACCAGGGCGCCCTTCATTGCGGCGGCGCGCGGCTCTTGCAGTGAGGCAGCTGGCGCCTGCAGACTTACGTGGCCGATCCATGGGGAGCCTCTGGGAAGCGACTTGGCCATCGGGAGGTCACAGACGGCGACGGGCAGAGAGCTTCGGCGAGGCGCTGGAGCCCGACGAGGCCCTCTGGAGAACCAGCGCCGCACAAGAACACGCTCCACGCCGCTCTGTGAAGGGCGCACTGCTGCTCGGCGCCGCGCGGTGCCGTGCGGTGTCGCGTGCGGTGGGGGGCATCTGCTGCGTGGTGCGGTGCGGTGTTGCGCGTTGTTGCGCGACTGCGGTGCTCTGGCGAGCTGCGGGTTCAAACATCCAAGAAGCGCCTGCGAATCGGACACGTAAGCATATGGCTAGTAGGCGGATTGATCTACAATGGCTGCGGACGAATAAATAAGGCGACCGCTGTCCCAAACGGTCATGCAAGACTGCCGTCCTTTGGGGGGGAGGGTAGCTTCATCACTGTTCCCTATTAATATACGCCCCCTCCTCCAGGCGACTGGGAGCCAACCCGAGACAATGAGGGCCCCCCAACCCCATCCCTTGTAAAAAACAATACAAAACACACTCTGCTTCCAAATTCGGAGCATGCGCATCGAACCCGCTGCGGCATCCCCCCACCATCCCTGCCAAAAAACAATACAGAGTACACTTGGCGGCGGCGGCTGCGGCGGCTGCGGCGGGGGCAGCGGCGGCGGCGGCGGCGGGCGGCGGCGGCGGCCCCAGTAGCTGCCCATCCAAAGACGACTGCTGAATATGCTGCGGCTCGGGCCAGGCTCGGGTGCTACGTATGTGTTGGGAAGGCGGGTGGGAGTTAGCGAAACGGCTTGCAGGCGGGGAGGGCGTCTTGACCCCTCCCCCCTACCGCCTCCCCTGGTTCGGGACGGCCGCACGCGGTTAGTTCGAGGTTCCAAAATCGCCCAAGATGGTTTCAAGATAGCTCTAGATAGCTCAAGATGGCCTCCACTATATTACCGCCAAAATGGCATAGGATAGGTCTGGAGGGCTACGGCACCAGGACAGCTCCAAGTGGCCACGGAGCCTATCAGGGACGCCTCTGAGTCAAACAACTCCCCCCAGCTGTGCAGATTGTGGGAAAAATAAATCAAACCATCAAAAAACACACAACTAATCGCGAAAACAGATCGTCCTGGCGACGTATTACCCAACCTTTGCGCAATGCGGGGCGTAAGTACATCAGGATTGCTACAACGGGGGCGATGGCGTAACACGGACGCATGTGATTTTGCGAGCAGCAATCGGAAGGCTCGCAGGCCCCCGATAAAGATATAAGGGCGTCGTACTGGTTACTAACGCAGCCGCCCCCCAGGGAGGCGAGGTCTCGCTCAGGTCCCCGCGGTGCCTCACTCCGCAGGACCCACCAGCAGCCCTCGAAAGTGGCGACAGCGTCACAGATCGCAGCCCCCCCAGGGACGGCGAGGTCTCGCTCAGGTCCCCGCGGTGCCGCACTCCGTTGGACCCACCAGCAGTCCTCGAACGTGGCGACAGCATCGCAGATCGCAGCCTCCCCCGAGGGACGGCGAAGTATCGCTCAGGTCCCCGCCGTGCGCCTCCCCGCTGGACCCACCAGCAGCCCCGAAAGTGGCGACAACGTCGCAGATCGCAGCCCCCCAGGGTCGGCGAGGTTTCGCTCAGGTCCCCGCGGTGCCTCAGTGCGCTGGACCCACCAGCAGCCCTCGGAAGTGGCGACAGCGTCACAGATCGCAGCCCCCCCGAGGGACGGCGAGGTCTCGCTCAGGTCCCCGCGGTGCGTCACCCCGCTGGACCCACCAGCAGCCCCCGAAAGTGGCTACAATGTCACAGATCGCAGCCCCCCCCCCCCCCCCCCAGGGACGGCGAGGTCTCGCTCAAGTCCCCGCGGTGCCTCAGCCCGCAGGACCCAACAGCAGCCCGCGAAAATGGCGACAGTGTCGCAGACCGCACCCTCCCAGGGACGGCGAGGTCTCGATCAGGTTCCCGCGGTGCCTGATTCCGCAGGACCTACCAGCAGCTCTCGACAGTGGCGACAGCGTCGCAGATCGCAGCCCCCCAGGGCCGGCGAAGTCTCGCTCAGGTCCCCGCGGTGCCTCACCCCGCTGGACCCAACAGCAGCCCTCGAAAGTGGTGACAGTGTCGCAGATCGCAGCCCCCCAGGGACGGCGAGGTCTTGATCAGGTCCCCGCGGTGCGTCAGCCCGCAGGACCCACCAGCAGCCCTCGAACGTGGCGACAGCGTCGCAGATGGCAGCCCCCCCAGGGCCGGCGAAGTCTCGCTCAGGTCCCTGCGGCGCCTCACTCCGCTGGACCCAAAAGCCTTCGAAAGTGGCCACAATGTCACAGATCGCAGCCCCCCCCCCCGAGGTCTCGCTCAGGTCCCCGCGGTGCCTCAGCCCGCAGGGCCCAACAGCAGCCCTCGACAGTGGCGACAGCGTCGCAGATCGCAGCCCCCCAGGGACGGCGAGGTCTCGCTCAAGTCCCCGCGGTGCCCCACCCCGCTGGACCCAACAGCAGCTCGCAAAAGTGGTGACAGTGTCGCAGATCGCAGCCCCCCAGGGACGGCGAGGTCTCGCTCAGGTCCCCGCGGTGCGTCAGTCCACAGGACCCGCCAGCAGCCCTCGAACGTGGCGACAGCGTCGCAGATCGCAGCCCCCCAGGGCCGGCGAAGTCTCGCTCAGGTCCCTGCGGCGCCTCAATCCGCTGGACCCAACAGCAGCCCCCGAAAGTGGCGACAACGTCGCAGATCGCAGCCCTCCAGGGTCGGCGAGGTTTCGCTCAGGTCCCCGCGGTGCCTCAGTGCGCTGGACCCACCAGCAGCCCTCGGAAGTGGCGACAGCGTCACAGATCGCAGCCCCCCCGAGGGACGGCGAGGTCTCGCTCAGGTCCCCGCCGTGCGCCACCCCGCTGGACCCACCAGCAGCCCCCGAAAGTGGCTACAACGTCGCAGATCGCAGCCCCCCCCCCAGGGACGGCGAGGTCTCGCTCAAGTCCCCGCGGTGCCTCAGCCCGCAGGACCCACCAGCAGCCCTCGAAAGTGGCCACACTGTCACAGATCGCAGCCCCCCAGGGACGGCGAAGTATCGCTCAGGTCCCCGCAGTGCGTCAGCCCGCTGGACCCACCAGCAGCACCCGAAAAGGCGACAATTTCGCAGATCGCAGCCCCTTGGCAAGATGCACACACAAGAGGTACCGCAGCCAGGATGCACACACACACACACACACATACACACACACACACACGAGGGACGCACAAGACAAGAGGAGCCGCTGGACCCACCAGCACCCCTCGAAAGTGGCGACAGTGTCACAGATCGCAGACCCTTGGCAAGATGCACACACAAGGGGTACCGCAGCCAGGATGGACACACACACACACACACACACACACGAGGTACGCACACGTCAAGAGGAGGCAAGAGGAAAGCGAGAGGCGAGAGGCGGGAGGAGGAGGACTGGAGACCGCAGTGCTTTATTCAAAACGAATACCCAACAAAGGAGGGTAAGGAGAAAACTTGAGGGCCCATCTTGGGCCATTGGGGCCGTCGGCAGATTACCCGCGACCGAACAACATCCCGGGGGTGCATACATCGTATGCCCTTCGTGCGGGGGGTGGGGAGGGGAGGGCAGGTCGTTCGTCATAACCAAGCGATGTCGACGCCTGGAGGGGGAAGAAAGGGAAGGGAAGGGATGGGGAGGGAGAGAGACGAGACGACAAGAGAAGAGAAGAGAAGAGAAGAGACGAGAAGAGAAGAGAAGCGGAGAGAAGATAATTAGGAGATGGGGAGAGGAGAGGAGAAGGAAAGACACGACAAGGGAAGAGACGAGAAGAGACGAGAAGAGAAGATAAGAGACGAGACGATAAGAGAACGGGAAAGAAGAGAAGATAAGTGAAGAAAATAAAAGATACTATAAGGATAACGATCATGATGCTGATAATTAAAGAGGCGGAAAGATAAGATAATGAGAAGAGGAGATATGAGAAGGGACGAGACGAGACAACAAGACAAAAAACATGACGAGAACGGAGGACAAGCGAAGACACTAGAATGTAATCGAATATGTAATAGAGAAGAGAGGATAAGACGGATGATCATGTAAGATAGGAGAAGATGGGAATATCAGGTAACACATTGGACGATAACATATAATATAAGATACGATAGAGAAAAGAAGCGACGAGAAGAGGAGAGGAGAGAAGGGAGAAGCAGAGGACAGAGGAGAAGAGAAGGAACGAGAAGAGAACAGAAGAGACGAGACAAAACGTGAAGAACTGGGATATAGAGGGAGGGGGTAGAGAAGAGAAGAGAAGTGAAGAGACGAGACGAGAAGATAACATACAATAAGGATATGAAGGAAGAGAAGGATACACTAGGAGAAAATAAGAGAAGATAGTAAGACTAGAAGAGACGAGACGATAATAACCGAGACGGACAGCGAAGGGCAAACAACAACAGAGCAGAGAAGATATAGCACGAGAAGATAATATAATATACTATAAGAGAGAAGAGGGGATATTATATATTATGACGTGATATATGGGAATTGAGGAGAAAAGATACTATGTTAGGCGATGGCAGGGGAGACAAGCGACGAGACGAGAAGAGACGAGGAGAGGAGAGGAGAGGAGGGAAGATAAGTGAGACAGATAAGCTAAGAACGATAACACAATACAGTAAGGCAAGATAAGATAACACAAGACAGTACTACACAATACAGGAGAAGATGACAACAGCTGAGAAACAATAACAGTTGACATGAGAGAGGATCATCAAATATAATATATGATAATAAAAAGAAGAGGAAGGAGGAGAGGAGAGGAGAGGAAAGGAGAGACGACACATAACGGCGCGAAGAGAACATGTGCGACTACACGCGAAGGGAAGAGAAGAGACGCGACGAGAAGAGACGATATGATACTTTACAAGGCAATCTGGAAAACAATAAGGAACGTGTACACAGCGAGCAAGAATCAACACATTATGAAGATAAAGTAGAGAAAGAAAAGAGGTGGGAGAGCGCGAGAAAGAGAAGGAACAACAGAAGGCAACGCTTGTATACAGTATAAGGCATTTTAGTTCTAAAGGAACAAAAAGCAGGCCGCGAACGCGCGTCATGCGCGAAGTAATCAAAGCATATATATATACGACGAAAAAGAGGCGTCTTCCCTCTTCACTCTCCTCCTCCGCCTGGTAATCGGGACACCTCTGCCTCTGCATCCTCTTCCTGCTCCTGAGGCACACGTGGCGGCAAATAATGGACTGGAAGGCTTCCTGGCAGGGTTGGCGTATTGTTCTGGCAAAGCGCGCGGGGGGGAGGGAATTCCCAATGAGGCCTACGGCACCTGCTGGTCCACTGCCCACCCTGCCTGCTACGTCCCGCCCCCTGTCTTACGCACGCACTGGGCCCTCACAGGGCCCCCCAGCGCGCTGGAGCGATATGTAATGCATCTTAGCTGTCTGTTAAATTGGAGTACGTAGTTATATGGGGTGCGATTCCCCTTGCAACTTAGACGTTTTGGCAAACTCGCCCCCTACGTGTGGAGAGAATGCCCCAACAAAATCACAGTCAACAAAATCATCACCATCAGAATCATCATCGTCATCAGCCGCAGCTGCATCATCACAACCATCATCACCACCAACATCCTCCTACTCCTCCTCGTCCTCGTCATCCTCCTCCTCTCCCTCCTCCTCCTCCTCCTCCTCCTCCTCCTCCTCCTCCTCCTCCTCCTCCCCCTCGCAATCACCATCATCACCGTTCCTATCACCATCACCACCATCGCCTGCGTCGTCTGCGTCGTCTTCATCGAAATGGTGGTCGCGGTCGTGATCGCGATCGTTGTCGTGATCGTGGTCGTTCGTGGCTGTGGTCGTCGTCGTCGTCGTTGTCGTCGTCGTCGTCGCGTTCGTTGCCGTCGTCATGACCATCATCCCTCGTGGTTATCACGCGGACGTTTGGTCTTGTTTGTCCTTGCTCGCCCAACCCCCAACCTGCTCATGTTCCCAATCAAACATCATCAGGATCATCAGCAGCAGCATCGTCATCAGAATCATCATCATCCTCCTCTTGGTAGTAAGCCCCCCCACACTCCTCTAAGGAGAGAATGATGGCCGACGGACGGGCGCAGAAGAACTGTTTATTGCGATGGGGCTGGGCCGGATCTCGATTGATTGGCAAGCAGGCACGCCGACAAAGAAACGGCCTGGCTGGAGGACGAAAGAAAGGACGGACAAAACGAATGTGACCCACGGGGCTCCTCATCATGTTCATCATGTTCCGAATCTCGATCCTCATCCTCTTGATCTATACATGCTGCAAAATCCGCCGACCCTGTCGGCGTGTGGAAGATGCTGTTCCGTTCGTCGTGCACGTCCTCGTCGTCGTCGTCGTCGCCGCCGTCGTCGTCGTCGTCGCCGTCGTCGTCGTCGTCGTCGTCGTCGATGCTCTTCCGTTCGTCGTCGTCGTTGTCGTCGTCGTCGTCGTCGACGTCGTCGTCGTCGTCGTCGCCCTCCCCTCAGGCGCGCCAGCCAAAGAGAAACCAAAGCAGCGAAATCGAGCAACGTCGTAGCTGAGTCGAAGGCAAAGCGAAATTGAGCAACGTCGTAGCTGAGTCGAAGGGAAGCCCCTTCCCTTTGATCCCTTCCCCGCCGGGGAAGGTGGTGTGGGGGGGGGTCCCGGGCGGGGGGGGGGGGAGATACGCATCCCCCCCGGGATGTCCTGGGACCTGGAAAAGCCCCCAGACTGGCCAAGAGTGCCCCAAGAGGCTTCCAAGACGGCTCCAGAGGGCCCCGAATCGCCGAACCATCGGTCGAAGACGCCAAAGTAGCCTCCAGACGGCCCAAGAGATTGCCAAGACGCTCCAAGAAGTCTCCAAGAGCACTCCCAAGAGGGCACGAAGAGGGAAAAATCAATGATTTCCTTAAAGTTTTTGACAGATTTTGGCGTTCTCGCCGTTTCAACTTGCCGACGCTCCAAGACGGCCCCAGATGCCCCCAAGATTGCCCCAAGATAGCCCAAGAGGCCTCAAGAGAGCCCCAAAATGACCCAAGAGAGCCTCAAGACCGCCCATGATGCCTCCAAGATGGCCCCAGAGGCTCCCCAAACGGCTCCTACAGGGTGCCCAGACGGGGGGCCCGACGAGCCCTCGGCGACAGAGGCTCCCAGGAATCCCCAAGATGCCCCCAAGAGGCCACCACGAGACCCCCAAGAGGCCCCCAGGAAGCCCCAAGAGGCCCCCCCCGCCACATTAGAGAACGCATGGGTCGCCCTCCAGGGTCGGCGGCACCGGCCGTAAGGCCTGCGCAATAAGGGTTTCCCTCTGCAAAGGGCGCTGACCGATAGACAATTCCTTCAGACCCAGAAAGAACTGTATCATACTGGTCCGACCGCTCGTAGACCTGGAGATTAGATACGCAATGCTCCCCCCGCCCCTGCACCCCTGTTCCCGCTCCTGCTCCCGCTCATGCTGCTGTTCCTGATCATGCTCCTCATGCTTCCCATGCGGGGGAGGAGACCGACGGAGCTGGAGGCGCAGGCGGAGACGACAACAACAAAACATACGCTGTGGCACG